TGAATTGTAAGAATAAACTCCTGTTTGTTAAGCCATCCCATTTGTGCTATTGTAGCAGTTTGGTTTGTGTGTCAACTTGGCTGGGCCTGGTTGAGTGGCTGGGCAGCTGGTGGTAGTTAATCCCCATGAGGAGACTGGCAATCAGCTCCATGGTGGGATCTACCACAAGCAGCTGGGTGGCTGCCTTTTGGTATGTGGTCTGCTTCCTGTATATAAGGAGAAGCTTTGAGAATGGTCTCTAGCATAGGGCATGCTTGGACCCAGCATGTAGCCGTGTCATTGCTCAGCAGCCTGCTATACTCTGCTGACCGTGGAACTTATGATGGACTTAAGTCAATGGCTTGCCGTGTGGTTTGGTAACATCGGGTTGTGCCTTTTTTGTTGTCAACCTTGGGGCTTCTCCGCCTCAGCAGCCAGCAGCTGTCTGAGTGAAGAAACGCCTCTAGCTCCAGGAGCTGGGAGCAGGAGGCAAAGCTGGACCCCAAGGTTGAGGGGCTTTCACTCAGCTCCTAGAGCCTGGCACTTTGAACTTGGACTTAAAGCCTCCAAATTGTAAGAATAAACTCCTGTGTTAAGGCCATCCCATTTGTGGTATATTTCTTATCAGAGCGGTGCTAGGTAACCAGAAGAGGACCTTTCTTAATTCTTTCAACTAATCCCTGTACTGCTAACTTAAAGGAAGTTAATACATAGATCCATCTCTCCCAATTAAAGAAGACTGCAGCTCCTGAGTCGACTGTCCAACCCCTGGACAAGCTTAAACTTAAGTTCAACCCAGCCTGATGGCCAGAAGCAGATGACTGTGAGAGGTAGACACCTCACTCCAAGATCACAGAACAAGAACACATGAGTAGATATAGCAACCTTGGACTCTGTATACTGATTTTTATTGTATTTGCTGTCTTATTCCTATTATGTTTTTGTCTTTTCTTTTGTGTATTGTTATTTTTCTTCATTATAATGGTGTTCTTAGGTGTACTCTTACTGCCTCCACTAAAGCTTGGCATGAAAATGCTTTTATTAAATTAGCCTAATCAATGGCTTGTGCAGCCAGTCTAACTGAATGCTGGATCTGTCATCCAACACCATGAACAATTCATAAAATTTCAGGTCTACTGGCTACTCTGTTGTTGTTGCTATGTGCCATCGAGTCGGCCCCAACTCATAGCAACCCCTCCTTGGGTTGCTGAGGCAGTATCACTACGGAAGTAGATCGCTCAACCTTCCTTCCGAGGAGTGGCTGGTGGGTTTGAACCGCCAGCCTTCTGGTTAGCAGTCAAGTGCCTTAGGTACTATGCTACCAGAGCTCCGTAGTTGTTAGGTGCCGTCAAATAGTCTTTGACTCATAGGGACCCTATGTACAGCAGAACAAACTACCCGGTCCTGGGTCAAACTCACTGCCATTGAGTTGATTCTGACTCATAACAACCCCCTTTAGGTTTCTGTGGCAGTAAATCTTTATGGAAGCAGATCGCCTAGTTTTCTTTCCACGGAGCAGCTGGTGGGTTTGAACCTCAACCTTCTTGCTACCAGTCAAATGCCTTAGGCACTGACTGCTCCACCAGAGCTCCTTGATAGACCTCAAATACCATGTTTTAATTTAATCTCAGTCAAACATGACTATTCTGATACCTAGCTTCCTCTTCCCTTGACTCTTCCCATCCCATTTTATTTCTCCATATATTAAAGATTTAAATTCAAACTCACTGCTGTCGAGTCGGATCCGACTCATAGCAACCCCTCCTTGGGTTTCCAAGGTGGTATCACTACAGAAGTAGATTGCCCAACCTTCCTTCCGAAGATTGGCTGGCGGATTTGAACTGCCAGCCTTTTGGTTAGCAGTCAAATGCCTTAGGCACTATGCTACCAGAACTCCCTATTAAAGATTAACCACTCATAATAAGATAAGAATTGATTATCCTTGATATTATTTAATCTTCTTTAAACTCTTTTCTACTTTTGGGTCCTCCCTCATCCTAAGAATGGAAAAATTAACCCTTTATAAAAACACTTTGAGAGAAAACTGGTTCAAACAATGTAACCAATCCATTCCTTCCCCAGATGATGATAGTGGAAAGAGAATGCTTCGTCCCCCTTATGGGTACATGTTCTTATATGCAAGGTGAAAATTTCCCACAAAGAGGGAGCCAAATACAACAAGCAGACCATTTGCCTAGGCCTTGCCTTACCTAGACAGTTGGATTGTGACCAGCACATTGGGACAGTTAGGGGTTCTTCTAGATATTCACAATTACAATGTTCATTGGATGGATAATTTTAAAATCTTTTTGAAAAAGTAAACAGTCAAGAGATGAACAAGGCTGAAAAACTGGAAATCATTAAGAAAAGAAAAATCTTAGCCTAGGCTATTCCTGTTTGAGAGCTTTCCTTCCTTGGTACAGAGTTGCAGATTTAAAGCATGCCATTCAGAATATATCCACCACTATGGAAAAACAGCTAATGACATCGCCAACTCACGAGAAGCCTCCCCCAAATCCTTAAATTCCATTGTTAAAGTAGTTCTACACAATAGAATTGCTCTGGATTTTCTATTAGCACAACAAGGTGGAGTGTGTGGTATTGCCAATACTTGAGTACAACACCTCAACTCAGGTGAAATAGAAAAAGACATCCAGCAGATCTGCCAAAAGGCTACCAGGCTTCACATTCCTGACCAACCAGGTTCCCCTTTCTTTGATGTTTTTAGCTAGTCACCAAAAGGTATAGGGTTTTGGATTAGATCAAGTTTGTTAGTTGGACTTATAATACTTATGATTATTATCACTATAATTAGAACATTTGAATGTTGTATAAATACTGGCAATGGTCTGACCCACAGAACCAACATATTACCAATGAAATGAATTGTATACCTCAATTCGGTGAATGGATTTGAGCCTCCACATGAAAGCCTTCCTGATTACATAACAATTAACTAGTTCCTCTGATGTGGCCTTATTCCATACTTAACTTTTCCAAAAGGATCACTAAAGACTGGTTGCTAATGCTGGACACGGTGAAGACAGAGGACATGCCTGGCCATTCAGAAAAAAATGGCATCTGGAGTCTTAAAGGATAGCAAGTGGCTATCCAGAAGAAAATTTAAAATTGAGAAGTACACAAAGAAGAAAACATACCAACCTATGTGTGATCAAAGAATTTCAAGGAAATGCTTGATCAAAAGGAGGGAAAATGTATAAAGAGTCCAAAATCAAGGGCACTTGGTGAGTGTAAAGAGAGCAGCCTAAAACCAAAGACTTAACTCTATCTTAAGCCTTAACATGAATCTAGAATCCATGTTGAATTTTAAAACTGCCTTTTCTCACTATAGCTTCTCTAACTTTTGTGCCTATACTCTGAAACATTTTTCTTCTCTGTGGTCTGGCAGATCCAAGATACCACAAACTACTCCTAGAGTCTTTCCTCTATGCTCAACAGATGCAGGATGTGCTAGACTATGCCTGAAGGCTTTTGATGCACAGTATTACTAATAAATCTTCTATACGATGGACCTCTATGAACAAACATGCTTGAGAAAACCATGTTAACTTAGCTTGAGAAAAACCTGTCTTGCCATTGTCCTGTGAATATCCTGTAATTCACTGAAGAGCACGTATGCCTGCAATTATGTATCTTTAACCAGTTATGCAAATCCACCTATGTAATTCATTGCTGTTGTTATGTGCCATAAAGTTGGATCTGACTCATAGCGATCCCTCCTTGGGTTTCCTAGGTGGTAACACTACAGAAGTAGATTGCCCAACCTTCCTTTCAAGGAGTGGTTGGTGGGTTTGAACCGCCAGGCCAACCGCCAGGCTTCTGGTTAGCAGTCAAGTGCCTTAAGCACTGTACTACCAAAGCTCCCATGTCCATATCATGAATCGCAGATATCCTGCCTTCAAGTGTCCTTTCAGTCAATCAAGACTGTGTAGCTTTAGCTCCTGCTTTGACTGTATTAAGTAAGCCGGAAGTGGAATGACCACCATCATTCTGTGAATTTGGATGTTTTTCCAGTTTGAATCATCTCTGGACTGCCAATAAATCTTTTAATTTCAATATAAATCTTTACTTCAGGAGACTATCGTGTGGATTTCGACTCACAGTCACCCACAGTAGAAGTGTACCATAGGGTTTCCATGGCTATACATCTTTATGGAAGAGGCTGGTGGGTTCGACCCCCACCCACCACCCGCCAGCGAACATTTTAACCATTGCACCACCAGTGCTCCTAAGTAGACCATAAACCGAAAAAATAAACTCACTAGTAGATTCCAGCACACAACGACCCCCCACTGGGTTTCCGAGGGGGTAAACCTTTACGGCCATAGTCTTCCTTCCTAGAGCAACCGGTGGATTTGAACCTCCAGTGTTCTGGTTAGCAGTTAAATGCCTTGGGCACTACGCCACCAGAGTTCCTTAAGCAGACTATACTCCACAAACTCACTGCCATCCTGTCAATTCCAACTCATAGCGACCTCCTTTGTGTTTCTGAGGCAGTAAATCTTTACTGAGTTAGAATGCCCTGTCTTCACCAGAATGGCTGCTGGGTTTGAACCGCCAACCTTCTGGTTAACAATCAAATGCCTCAGGCACTACACCACCAGTAGTCAATCTGAGTCCAAGTTCAGGTACTGTGGCAAACTATGTGTGACTCTGGGTAAGCTTCTTAATCTTCCTGTTTTCACGACTGTAAGGTTATTGCAAAAATTAATTCACATAGATAAAAGCGCTTTAGTATTCATTAGAAAAGTAATGCTTTCCTAACACTATGGATAAGCCCTGTCAACAACCTCAGCGTTTTCCGCCCCAACCCACCCCCTCAAAGGCTCTGAAGAGACCGTCCAGAATTCACCTTTGCCGCCATAGAACGCAGGGGCAGCCGGGAGCAGCAGTGGGACTCGGGAGACCAGGAACCCACTTCCGCTTTCCGGTCCCTCGCAGCCAATACCTCTGTTGCCCCTCCCCTTCCGTTTTGGAGAAAAAAACGCGCTCCCAGAACGTCTTCTTCCGGCAGGAGCTGTGCAGCTCCTTATCATGGTGAGTTGGCTCGGTAGTGGGGGTATTTGTAGTGGGCGATTCCTCTTTTCTTCACTAGTTACAAAGCTACCTTGAAATGCCTCTGCTGCGCAGAGGAGGGGTTGTCGGGTTTGCGGTCGTGCCCTCGGTGGAAGCGCTGTCTCCCGAAAGATTCCCCCAGAGCATTCATGCCCCCTCGCTCCTTCACTCGGTTGCTTTGCCTCTCCGTCTCCTGGCCCGGTCCAGGTTGAGCTTTTAGCTTCTAACGAGTTTATGACTTCTTGGTGAGGTTTCCTTGATGTAGAAAATAAAAGCCTTTGCCGACATCAGCGACTACAACACTAAGAAATAATCCGAAAACAAGTCCAGAATGGCAATTCGTAATTGTGGTATTTAGAGTAGTAACGATAACTCCGGCGGCAATAGATGGTATGAATAGATTATTAAGGCAGACACCTCCCCTCTGCAACTTGGCTTTAGTGAGGACTAGTAGCCTGATCCTGCTGCAATTTACAGAAGAACCGTGACAAGACAAAGTCGAAATAGTGGTAGAGCACCTTACTGCTGCTTTATTTCTGCATTTGTACAAACGAATGGAAGATTTCATTATACCTGTGGTTGTTGGGATGTAATGTTTTCTTTAAAATTTGTTAGATAAATTGATCATTTTATGCCTTCAGAAATTAAATGTAAGATAAGCAGTGAGTTGTGATTTCGGGTGTCACGAGCAGGGTGTGCTTTGCCAAGGTACATTTTTTTTCAGAAATATTGATAGAGCACTTATTTGATTGCCTGAATATGTGAAAGGGTCTGAGATTCTCTGCCTAAGCTATTATCATTCTGTTAAAGTGGATATGGACAGAAATATATTTTCTTCACACAATTTGTGGTCTGTAAATTTTCTGTAATCCTTCTTTTATACAAAGTGGGTAAATTTTTTGGCTAATGACCAACTACTGTCCAGATATGCCCTTCTTCTAAACATTCACTGCTGTGTAGCCAGAGTGTTATTACTAAAATGATCGTGCTGTTCTTTCACTTAAAAAAAATATCCTTTTTTTTTTTTTTCCTGTAGCCGGCAGGGTGAAGTCCTGTTTGGCATGGCATACAAAGCCACTCAGAATCAAGCTTCTTAATTTTACAGCCACACACAACATTCCTGTTCCAGCTACAGTGAACAGCTCTCAGAACTGCTGTAAGAATTAGGCTTTCACCTAATTTGTGTATGCTGTACCATCTGCCTGAACTAATCTCCATTTCCTCTCCCCACCTCCACGCTCATCCTTTTCAGTGCCCTTACGTAATCTTAAGTCTCTTTCATGAGTCTTTCCTCCATTTTGCAAGATCCAGTTAGGTGCTCTTCTTCTGCCCTCCACAAAAATGTACTAACCGATAACATCTGTAACCCTTACCAGAATATGTTAAAATTTTGTGTTTCCTTACTTGTGTTTCTCACTTCCTAGACTGTAAGCTCTTTTGAGAGCAGGGCTTAGGTTGTTCACTCTGGTATTCCCAGAGCCTTGTACATTGCCTGGTCTAGAGAAAGTTTTCAATAAATATGTTTTATAAAATACTAAATGAATATGTATGGCACTATATTTTTATGCTTGAAACACTGATAATACAGGAAAATAGTAGAATTTAAGGTTTATTTTAAAGTGTAATGAAAGAAGGTTTTATGAGTTATATGTTTATTAAAAACATGATGTGTAAAAGCAGTGTTGTGTCAGAAAATATAAAAAGTCCTTGACATTAGTAAAAATGAAGTGAAATTAGTAAAAAAAAAATAATAATTTGCAGTACAAGAGGACTAGATGAAGGCTATCCTTTGGCTAATTATCAAAGTGTGTGTGTGTCCGTGTGTGCGCGCACACACGCACACACACACGTGCACACTAATTTGGAATGATATGGGAAGGTTTCATGTAGGACATGACATGTGGGACTATTTTTTGCCTTACTCTAGTAGTCTTAATCTAATATTTATTTCCATCATTTAGATGAAGAAATAGAAGTCAAGCAGTTTGCTAAGTGTTGCAGGGCTATTAGACTTTGTTGTTGTTATGTGCCGTCGAGAGTCTCTTCGACTCATTAGACCTTAGATTAGGCCTTCTCACCCTAGAGTAGTATGATCATGATACCCAGGTAGACCACTGTAACTGAGGCTGAGGATTTTTGTTTGATACGGAAGATATGGATGGAAAGAAACTGGAGCTAAGGCTGGTGGGTTCAGACTACCTACCTTTTGGGTAGCATTCAACTGTCTTAACCACTATACCACCAGAGCTCCTTTCTCATTATTATGAGTAAACATAAATTCAACTCAACACACTTAAAGTAGACATTTTGGTCTTTGTCACAGATATATAAATTAGGTTCTGATTCAATTGTATCATATCATATGAAAGTGGCTGGTATGGTTTCATCAAATTTGAGATCATCTGATTTTTTTTTTTTTTAATTGTGATTTGGGTGAAGATTTACAAAGAAAATTCACTTTCCATACAGCAGTTCACATTTACTTTGTCTCATGACATTGACCACAGTTTACCACAATGCAACAGCTCCCCTCCCACTTCCTCTCCATAGTTACCTCTTCCCTGTGTCCATCCTTCCATGGACTACTGCCCCTTGAGCTGTCTCCCTGTGCATAAGCAGCCGTTCTTTCTCCCGTGATTGTTCTCTCCAAGAAGAGTATCTACTTGAGGTAAATGTTCAACTCAATTGCCTATCTTTTGTTTGGCTGGAAACCACAGGTGTGGGTTCAGTTCCAGACCTGAAGGGCAGCTAGGGGCCATGGTCTCAGTGGTTCTACCAGGCTCTATTGGGCCAGCAAACCTGCCCCCCCCCTTTTTTCCCCTCCAAATGATTTTGAGTTTTGTTCCACATTGTTCTCCCTCTCTATCAAGGATCTCCTACATAGATCCCCTTCCAAGTGGATGACAGTGGTA